CCCCCCCCCCTCGGTGTTTGCCATCGGGATTGGGTTTTCGTCGCTCGGCAACGACGTTGTCAAAAAGCCAATTCACTTCGTGAGCTCGGTGAAGGCTACCCTGACGCTCGAAATCATGGGTTCGAGTCCGTGTGGAGGTATCTTTTTTTTCCAAGACATGTTTATTGACAATAGGTATGTGGGCGACTGCGAACGAACGCAATCCAATGTGTATTATTCCCGCCCAAAAGCCTACTGCTGCAGGTATTTTTTTCAAACAAAAAAAAAAACTATTCCACCTCCCGATCTAGTACAAGCTGGCTCTCTTTTGCCAGTTGTGACATAGATCCTTTCGCTCGCAAAAACACCACACCAGCAGCAGTTATCAGCAAAGCTGCTCAAAGATGTAACCTCATCGCGTTTCCTTACCAGTACGGATATCTTGCGGGCTTTTTGGTTCGATATCTTGGCGCGAGCAAGCCATCCTTCTCTCCTTCCTCCGGGCCCCGCCGATTTTCGCCCCCCCCCTGTCTCCTTGCTTGCCTTCTTGAGCTGTTGCTTGTTCCCAGCCTCTACTTTCTTCAGTGTCGTGTAGACTGTTCCTGCCCCTCGTTGTTTGCACAGCGCAAACATCTGCTCCAACTCAACGAAGAAGGAATCTGCCGAATCCAGCAAGACCATCTTGACTCTCTGCTTCCCCAGCACCTCTCACGCAGCAGGTATGCTGTCTGCTGGCAGTGGTGCTGTCTGCAGCGCTAACCAGCGGTGGGGGTGACGCGATGATCGAAAGCAAACGGAGCGTGCCCCGCATGAGGTTTTCAGATGGTTCAGAAAGGACTCGTTAGGGGACCCCGAACATGTAGCCCCGCGTTCTTTCTAAAGTGGGACAGCGTTCTCCCGGTAGACACCAAGCAAGGAGGGGAACTTGCTCCGTGGTGCACTGGTGGGGTATATTGGAAAAGACGAGCACCAATGAGAGGTCTCTCTGTCAATTCCAAGGCTTTAGCCGCCCGCTTTTGGCTAGAATCCGATCTCATGATCTCATCATGCCCTCTGGTGTGTGCGGAGAACGAGGATTATGTTCCGGTAATACGTTTTGGCCGGCGGGTACAACGGCCCCCTCTGCCGCGTCCCTCTGCCCAAGAGTGGGAATGAACATCTGACATTCATGCAATAGGAGAACTGAAGGTCCCTCTCTTCGTTCCAGGTGCGCACTGTTTTTTTAGAAATGAGTTGCGCCCTTGTTGAACCTGCGCCGTTCTTCTGCACGGTTCCGCGTGCCGCATGACCAGAGAGTTCATACATGTACAGCAGTAGACCCGCCTCTTTCAAAAGAGATCACGTGGTAAAGAGCTAGCCGGCTTGGAAGTTAGTGTTATCAATGAGGAAATAGATGCCAGGCAGTCCGTATCTGAGTAGGAGTGTTGGCAGTTTCTAAGAAGAATTCCTCTCTGAAAATAAGCGGGAGGTATGTAGACTACTGCTGAACGTTGTTGCCACAGGTTTTACACGCGTAGCAATCCCTGAGACCTGATGAGGACTCACTTGTTGATTAGACGAACCTCTTAAAACAGCAGTATGATGTCTCCTTGCTCTCTTTGGTAAACTGAACGAAATGGGGCGGGACCTCCTTGCAAGGAGGGGTCGTTATGGCAGCACCCCCTTGATCACAGGTCTATCCTATGATAGGGAGTTGCGACCCCCGCCATTTCATCTTTCCGAGAACGGTTCAGATCCTTGTGCTCAAATCCCTATATCAAGAAAACATAAGAACCAACACATACTAATGAAGTTATAGTCATCGCATCAATTGTGCATAGTGGTGGTAGGGCACGCGCATTTTTATTTTCTTTTTTTTGTTTTCACTTCAAATCAGCGCTCACGGTACTACAATTAGTAGTGCCGTTTACTCCAACCCGTGGTCACACGGAACAGTCCTTCTCTACCCTCCCCTCCTGTGGTACTTTGCCTTCGATTTTTAATGCGACAAGAGTTCAGCACGCTCTTCCCTCTGCGTACACACGAACTAGCGCTATCCACTAGGCCAGGAGCGGAAGCGAGAGAAAAACTCACTTTGCAAGAAAAGCTCGCTTACGCCGGGATTCGGACACCCGACCTGACCTCTAGAAGGTTTCGAGGATACCATCTAGACCACCGGGGCGATCAGTGATCTGTAATATGTTGCGGATGAGGGAAAGTAGAGAGATATTGGAGAAACGGCGAGCACCAATGAGAGGTCTCTCTGTTGTTTGTGTGGATCCTTGCCTTTAGTCTCTTGGAATATCACTGTGTATGCAAACACATCAACTTTGTCGGGCCGGATTTTTTCAATCGCTACGGACACCCTTTGCACCTGCCCTGGATGGCGGCGAAACAAGCACTAAAGTCGCAACTCTGTAAGATTTCCAGCGACTAATGACCTGGGAATCCGACCATGGTGAAAGCTGACTCCGCCATGAAACCCAGTCCAGGCGGTTTGCTTCGCGCTGTACACACACGTATAGAATATCACATGCTTTGCCCGAGCATCCCGCGTCAACACGATTAATCCCAGACGGCTTTCTTTGTGTCTTCGTTGTTCCCACCCCCCATCCTCCAAACAGAGGAAGAGGTTGGGTGCTCCGCGTCCGTGGCGGGTGCGGTCCATCCCTCTGATGATGGAGGCATCTGCCCACGAGCCGTCAATTGCGGAGGGATACTTGACCAAGAAGGCCGGCGTCCGGTGTAATCGATTTTGGCTTGTTCTCGACGACGACGTGATAAACATTTTACTCCTCGGCAAGGGGAAACTTGATTCGAGACGGCCGCCTGGTCCTCGACGGCAAGTCTACGGCCATCCATCTGACCACACCGACCAACGCTTTCCAAGTAGTCGCTTCCAACGCGACCGTGCTGAAGGTGTATGCCGATACTAAGGAGGAGCGAGATCGTTGGGTCACGACCGTGAACAAGCGGATGAACGAGCGGATGAAGGAAGGGGGGCCGCCACGTCGAAGACGCCAGAACACCAGGTGTGAGCGAGAGGACCACAGAAACGACAGTCAACAACCGGTTGGCGGGAAGCTCATGTTGAAGTGATTTACCCTCGTGCATAGTGGGCCGCTCGCTGTATTCCTCGTGCGCACAAGCATATACCATGGACCCACATCATGGGTGCGCCCGCCGAAACAAAAACCGGCGGGTTCTCAATTCTTGCGTTGCCGGAGGCAGGCGCGAATATCTCTAAGTTGTGTACGTGTGGGCTATAGTGGAAGAGAAATAGAGAAGGGAAATGGACAAAAGTGGGTATACCCACGCCATTCTCGGACAAAAGTGGGTACTCGAAAATCCAGCGCGCGCGCATTCCATAGGTGACCTCCGAACGACTCAAAACCCCATTCTGGCACATGGGCGATACAGCCAGGGACCATACACAGCACGGGCGTCGATATTTTCCCACTTACAGGCACTCCTTTGGCCCTCCTACCGCCGGGGCGCACAAGGCCTCACCAGAGTGCCCATTTCTGTCCGATGTGGTGTCTACTTTTTTTTCATGTACCCACTTATATCTGTTTTTTGACCAACTTGTGTCCACTTAAGGACGGCGGAAATCGAGAGGAAATCGACCTCCACGTCACCGCACGGCTGAACATCGAATAGCATCGGAACGTCTCAGAACCTCCCAACACCGTATCCATGGCATCTTTCGTATCCATGGCTACCGACTGCGGACCGACCGCGGAGGAACATGTCAGAAACATGCCAGACCCCTTCGGTACCGACACGGGAAGATACCCGCGGCAAGCCCGGCAAGCAGCGCACTAACGGCACGCCTCAAATAAATGCGTGACACACACAACGGCGAACAAACCAACGAGTCCCGCATACAGAACAAAAAGACGCACATACAGCAACACAGGCACACACACGCGCCACACACGAAAAACACCAACCACCACGAGGAGTGCACACCTACTCGTGAGGGCAGCAGCAGCATGTCGAGGCACTTTGCCACGCACTTACGTGATGTTAAGAGGCACTACATGTTTGTATGTATACGAAGTGAAAATCCGGCCCGATATCCCGCGGTCGGTCCGCAGTCGATGTCCGTGCTGTGTATGATCCCTGCCTGGCTGTGTCGCCCAGGTGCCAGAATGGGGTTTTGAGTCGTTTGGGGGTCGCCTATGGAGTGCGCGCGCGCTGGATTTTTGAGGACCCACTTTTGTCCGAGAATGGCGTGGGTATACCCACTTTTGTCCATTTCCCTACTTATATATAGCTATTTTCATTTTCAGTACCAGTAGAGACTAGACACGTGTTACTTCGTGCATTGTTTCGAGGTCCTACGGTCGCGTCGATGCCCTGTGTGCGGGTTTCCTAATGAAGCAAGACCTAGGCATTTCCAACAATAATCGTTTGAAACTTCTCGGTGTAAGTTGATACACCTCTGTGCGTCGACCATCTCACTCTCATGGTACTCGGAGTTGCTACCGCCGTTGCATTCGTTTCGTAATTCCGAGGTCTACATGTAGTCACAAGCCACATACAAGCTCTAACCCCGCGTGCGCACGTTTTTCTTGTTACTTGGTCTCGTGTTCTGTGTTTTATTTTGCGTGAAGTCACGTCGAAAATAAGTGTGAAGTTTGTCCTTGGTTTACCCCGACTTGTCCGTTTGTCTGGTTGTCGCAGTGTGGACTAGGAGCTCCGGTCGAAGTTCAGCTGCTTGATGGTGTTTGATGTTTTCAATCTGAAGATCTGAAGTTCCTCAAGCGCAAAGTGGGGTTATCGCTAGGAAAACACAAGCATTCAAGAAATCTGTGACGTGATGGGACAGCAAAGAAAGTCGTTGCTCCATGGAACCATCCAAATTTGGCGCAACCAATAAAGCTTCGTCGGGGGGAGGGGGGGTGTACTCATAGTCGTGCATGCCGTAGTCGTTAGACCATTGACCTCGCATCCCTACAAAGCCGGGACGGAGCACGCCGGGTTCTCACCGGACCAGCTTCGTCGGGGAAGTATTAATTTTGTAGAGCAAAGCAGTGAGTGATATTTTGTCTCTTTCGCTCCCCAAGCCTCGAGGGAGCGCGTAGAGGACGGCATAATGTTGAGATCCACCCCACCCACCCACCCACACTCGGTGCTGCGATCGTTTGCGGGATATGCCCCCCCCCGGTGCAGGTGTGAACGCTCAGCGCCGGCGGGGAGTATCCACAAATGAGGAACTTCCGCCCGCGGTTGGAGGCCTCACCATATCCAGCTTTCATCAAATGATCCACTCCGAGGAAGACCATACCTTAGAAAACGTGTGACAAAAGTGAGACTGAGTTTCGTTGGGCAGACGGTGCCGTTTCCATGAATTTCAACCTCAACTGGTATTCTATGTACGCACGGTAGACAGCATCAGTACATGCCGCATTGGTCATTCCAAAAATCTGCCTCGAAATTGACTGGTGATCGATGTTGAAACAACCGAGGGAGAACGTAAACATAGCCCCCCCCCCCCGCCCCCCCAGCTGCTGCTGTTTGGGATTCCAAGGGACATGACGAGGATAGAGTTCAAGAACTGTTGTGACAGGGAGGGACTGCACTGCCTAGCA